GAAGAACTACCGCTACACTACGGTTTAGGGTTTAGGGTTTAGGCACCTTTGGCCTTAACATGCCCGTCATAGAAAGGCTGAATCTTGAAATCAAGAGCCCCTAACGCACCCTGGGTAGAATGAAACCACACCTCTCAAAATCCCCCGCAAAGAAGCCAGAATTTAGAGAACCGCCCAGCTATGAAAGCCCTAAACCGCCAAAATACCGAGTAAAAAAGAGAGGCATCTACAAAAAAGCCCACCCTGGCCTTGCCCTCATGCTCAATGGTCCAGTGAACCTGATGTCGTGGCTTCTTCTAACTCCAACATAACATAATGCGAATGTTTACTCATAAAAGTCCTTATATATTTTGGGGGGGGGGGCATATTCAGTACATGGGTGTTGCATTGAACGTATGGGTTTGGGGTGTTGTATTCATGCTAGGGTTTGGGGTGGGGATTGTATTGGGACGAGGGCTTCAGGCCGAGTGCTGCGTTGAAGTTAAGATTTAGGGTTCTGTGTTGGGGTAAAGGCTTAGGTCTTTTTGAGCTGGAGTCTAAGTTTGGGTTGGGTTTTGTGGTAGGCAGTGGGGTTTAAGCCTATGTATAATGGGTTTCAGGCTTGGGGCTTTGTGTTGGGGATTCGGCTCTGCATGGGGTTTAGGAATTCCACGTTGCTTGGGCTTAGGGTATGGTTCTGGCCTTGATCAGCTTGCATGCCCAGACCCCCAAAAGGATCTGAAAATGAGATCCCCTAGAACCATAGGGCAAATTCTATAAGGATTATATAGGGGTTATAATGGGTCTATATAGGGGATCAAATTTTTAGATCCTTTTGGGGGTCTGGGTGGGGCGTTGTCAGAATCGTGGGTCCTCTTTCGAACCCTAAGCCCTAAACGGGATGAAGACTGTCCTACCCTTGCAATCTACTTGGAGGTTCAAAGCAATGATAGCCAAACTAGAACTGGTACTTTAAAAACCCAAAGCAGGGCTCATACTTGGATTATAAATACACCCTCATCTAGGCTTCTGTAGTCCCCTATGCCCTGCCGTTTACACCTTTCCCCTAGCCTCAAAATCTTGCAGAGCGCATTTTCCTCTGAAAGACTCTCCCTCAAGTAACCCTAAATTGCCATCCTTCTCACTACAAGCATCCCGAACACAAGAACCATGATTTTAGAAACGGTCATTCAGAGCTAGGTTGCGAAGGTAGGAAGGCATTTTATATTTGGCATACCCAAAAGCCAAACCTTAAACCTCTAAACCCACCTCAAACCCTGAACCCTACAACCCTAAACCCAAAAACCTAAACCCTCAAACCCAGCCCGAAAACTTAAACCCTTTTCTTTTCCATTATCCCAAAATGACCCCAATATAACCCAATATACTATAGTAGTTTCCATTTTCTTTTCCATTATCCCAAAATAACCCCTATAAAAGCCTATATACCCCTAAATAAACCCTATAAACCCTAATTATAGTAGTTTCCATTTTCTTTTCCACTACCCCAATATAACCCTAACAACCAGAACCCAAGAGTTGGACCGGCCTTGCCGGAACCCTTGTCGGCTTTGATGGTGTGGGTCGTCACCTTCCAGAGCATCATGACTCTCCTATGGTTTTGGAGCTTCCTGGGCTCTTTAGCTCCCCTTATTATATTGATATAGACTATCCCTAGCTCCTTAGCTCCCGTCAAAGGCATGGGTAGATGACGCTTTAAAAGGCTTACGGTTGGCGTGGTGTGGGGATTATGGCGTTTGAGTTTCGGGTTGTAGGGTTCAGGGTTGAGGTCTAGAGATCAGCGTTCCGGTTTGGGGCTTTTATTTCGACTCTAGACCTCATACCCTACGTCCTCAGCCTTAAGACGCCAAAAAAACGTGAATCACAAAAAACAGACCAGTACTGTCCCGTCAAAAGGCTGTCTATTTAGGATTCAATGCTCCTTGTATGGTTGAATGCTCGCACGTGCAGGGGGTGGGACACAGGAGGCTTCAGAACGCGCCAGCACAAGCGAAAAGTGTTCGCAGGAGTGCTTACAGCTCAGGAATTAGGGGCTGAGTGTGACTGCGAGGGCATGGTTCAATCCAAGCGCATAGCTTCACCCAACTTGGTTATGTGCATATTTCAGGCTTCCTTTCTGACAGGCTTTGCATGAAGGACCTGACTAGATTGCAATACTTGATTCCTACAGTATAGAAAAGTGCACACAAAAGACTCAGAGATTTCTTCTTAGACAATCAGCCATGGACATAGGACTGTCTCCGCCCAAGCCCTGGACATCCTCTGGCTTCGTCGGATCCAGAGCCAATGTGCCTTTGAACCTCAGGCGCAGGGTTTGAAGAAGCACACCATGGTATTTGAAACGGTGCTCCTACTCCTAATCCTGCTCCTGCTGCTGCTGCTGCTGCTGCTTTCTACTTCTACTTCTACTTCTACTTCTACTTCTACTTCTACTTCTACTTCTACTTCTACTTCTACTTCTACTTCTACTTCTACTTCTACTTCGACGACGACGACAACGAAGACGACGATGCTACTTCTTCAATGACGAGTTCTTCTACACCACGACTACTTCTTCTTCGACGACTAAAACGAGTAGGCATCATTTCAGTACTTGGCGGCTAATTATTTGGCTGTTCAATATGACAGCCGGCATGCAGATTTCCATTGGTATTTGCAGCTTTTCCCGTCTACACGGCATTAGGTACTTGATTTTTCCGCAATTTTCCCGAATTTAAAATGTAAAGACCTAGACAGCTGGAAATGTCAGTGTTTGCAATACATTTTGCAACTGGTACGTTTGTGGAATCGGTGTTTTTGGATGAGATTCTATGTCAGTGGGTCCGGGGCTTTTGACACAAAAGGCGACTGTGAAATTGACGGAATTCTCGTAGCTTCTGCCACCTGCGCTCTTTTTGCTCAAAATCTGAGGTTACAATTTGGACCAATCATTTTGAGGAAGCAGGGTTGCCCCAATTCGTCCAGGGTTCGATAAAGTCGTCCAAGGGTGTCAGGAGTTCTGATTTCAATTTTGAGTTGCTCCATCAACCCAAGATTCGCTCCATTAGTTTGTTCAAGGGCTTGAGGAGTTCTCATTCTAAGTTCACTAGTTCATAAAATAATCGCAAGGCCCCAAACTCCCAAGCAGACAGCATCATGAGCAAACACTGCTATGTTGTAAAGTGCCGTGTTCTGCAATACTTTCTACGTGCGCAAAGAACGTGAATGCGTCATCCAAACAACGCCCAGTCAAAAAGAAGCGTCATATCCTGCACGCTCCCTTCTCAGAGCCTATGTAGCCGAACCCACAACCTAAAACATGAAACTCCAATCCCTCGAATCTTTAAACGTTAAACCCCTAGACCTTAAACCCTAAACCTTAAACCCCTAAATCCTGAAACCTTAAAAGCTCAAAACCTGAGAACCCTAAACTCTAAAACCTTAAAAACCCGAAACAAAACCTAAACACCCCAAACCCTAAACACCCCAAACCCTAAACGCTCCAAACCCTAGACACCCCATTCCAAGGAACTCTCCCTCGCTGATCTCCTCGCACTGAGATCCGGGAATCTGAGCCAGGGCACAAAGATACAATGAGGGGTTTGGGGTTTAGGGTCTACGGGTTGAAGGTTTAGGGCTTAGGGGGTTCTTTAGGATGCTACAAAGGCTATGTAAGGATTCTTTAGGGGTTCTGTAGGGATTCTATAAAGGTTATGTAGGGATTCTATAAGCGTTACATAGGGATGGTATAGGGTTCTATAGGGACTCTATAAGGGCTATGGGAGGATTCTACAGGGGTTTTACAGGGATTCTATCGGATTGTATAGGGGTAAAGATTGTATAGGTGTCGTATAAGGGTTGGATTTAGGTAGGGGATGATGGAAAAGAAAATGGAAACTACTGTTTAGGGTCTGAGGATATTACCCTCGATAATGGAGAAACAAATGGAAATTTGAATTGAGCGCAGCTCGAGCGTGCTCTGAGCATGGCGGGCACTTCTGACCCTTCACTCCAAAGTGAGACAGCGAGTTACTTGTTAGCCATTTGTATTTAGCCCAGACTACCAATCAAAGC